AGCAAAAAAAGTCAGAGAAAGACAAATACAATATGCTTTCACTCATATGTGGAATTTAAGAAACAGACCAGATGAACATAGGGGAAGGGAAGGGAAAATAAGAAAAAAACGGAGGCAAACCATAAGAGACCCTTAAATACAGAGAACAAACTGAAGATTTCTGGGGATGTTGGGTGGGGGAATGGCCAAAATGGGTGATAAGAATTAAGGACGGCACTTGTTGGGATGAGCACTGGGTGTTATATGTAAGTGATGAATCACTAAATTATTCTCTTGAAACCATTATTACACTATATGTTAACTAACTTAGATTTAAATAAAATTTAATAAATAAATAAAAATATATTTTTATAACTAGAAACATTAGAAAGTATAAATTTAAGAAAACTGTAATTTGCAATAACATAAAAAACTATTTAGAAGTAAATTTATTGAAATATTTGCAAGAAAACTAAGGGGCATTTGGGTAGCTCAGTCGGTTAAATGTCTGACTTTGTCTCAGGTCATGATCTCATAGTTCACAAGTTCGAGCCTTGCATCAGGCTCTCTGCTGTCAGCATATAGCCTGCTTGAGATCCTCTGTCCCCTTTCTGCCTCCCCTGCTCATGCTCGCTCTCACTCACTTGCTCTCTCTCTCAAAAATAAACATTAAAAGGGTGCCTGGGTCGCTCCGTCGGTAAAGCATCCAAATTTGGCTCAGGTCATGATCTCTCAGTCTGTGAGATCATGGGGCTCTGTGCTGACAGCTCGGAGCCTGGGTACTGCTTCAGATTCTCTCTCTCTTGCTCTTGCTCTCTCTCTCTCTCTGCATCTCTCTCACCTGCGCTCTCTGTCTCTCTCTGTCTCTCTCTCTCTCTCTATCTCTCTCTCTCTCAAAAATAAACATTAGGGGCACCTGGGTGGCTCAGTTGGTTAAGCGTCTGACTTCGGCTCAGGTCATGATCTTGCAGTTCGTGGGTTTGAGCCCTGCTGTAGGGCTCTGTGCCGACGGCTAGCTCAGAGCCTGGAGCCTGTTTCGGATTCTGTGTTTCCCTCTCTCTCTGACCCTTCCCTGGTCATGTGCGTGCTCTCTCTCTCTCTCTCTCTCTCAGAAATAAATAAAACATTTTAAAAAATTATAAGAAAAAAAATAAAAAATAAAAAAGAATTAAAGAAGAAAACTAAAAATGTTCTTCAAGAATCTTTCAGGAAAATTTTGTGTGTGTGTGTGTGTGTGTGTGTATGCATATGTATAAACCTATATTTTTATTCATATATATAATATATAATATTTCTTATTCAGAACATCCTTTGTATTTTCTACCTACTAGAACAGATAAAATTAAAAATTAATGACATAAATAGTCAGCAACAGTGTAGAGCATCTGACATGTTCAGCATTGGTGGTGATATAAAATGGTACAACTACTTTGGAATACCACTTGATATTTGTAAAATAAAGCTAAACATACACATGCTATATGTATGACTCAACATTTCCAGTATAGATTGCCCAAGATAAATTTACAGAAAGACCTGAACAAAATATGTATAGCAGCTTTATTCATAATAACCCAAAACTAAAGTAACTCAAAAATCCATCAACAGGAGAATAGAAAAACTAGGTGTGGCATATTCATGTAATGTGACACTGCTTGCAATGTAAAGGAATGTACTGCTGATAATATGCAACATGAATGAATCAAAAAGAAATTATACTGAAAGAAAAAAATCCAGAAACATATATACTGTATGATGTCATTTGTATGAATTTTCAAGCCTAGGCAAGCCTCTCTATTGTAATTTAACAGCCCTTTGTGGGGGTGGGGGAGAGTGGATTGAATGGAAAGTGACACAATGTAACTTAATGGTGAGGTTGAAAATTCCTGTTTCTTAAGGTTGGTTAGGTTAGGGTTAGTGACAAATAAATTTAGTTCTCTTTTGTTTTCACTGGGAAGAGTTTATAGTACCCCAAAATAGTCATTATCAGAAGTCATCTCCTTCATCCATTTTGCCCATCCCCACAATCCTCCTTCCCTCTGAAAACCATCAGTTTGTTCTCTGTATTTATAGGTCTGATTCTGCATTTTGTTTTAGATTCTACGTGTGTGTGAGCTTTACGTAAAGAAGGTACCCATTGTTAGCATTGTGGAACTTCTGTATTCATGACTTAGAAAGGGAAGCTGGGTTTAGGTTTTTCTAAATAAAAAACTGAGACCCCAAAGTAGGAGACTTGTGGAAGTTTATTTTTTACAACAAAAATCTGTTTTTATATTACCACTGGAAATAGATTGTGGGTATTTTTTGCCTTGTAAAGGAGTAAACATTTAACTGCATTTGTGGGATTTTTTTTCTTCTTAGTCTGAAAATTTTTAATCTTGGTATACAATAAACCTGCTCTTATTCTTGCCTTTAACTGTATCTCTGGTATGTCTTTAAAATGTCTAACAAATTCAAAGAATAAGGGCTCTCAGTTTTGTGATATCTTCTTTAGTTTAATTTGAAATGGCTACAGTCATTCCATGTGAGTATCACAAAATATCCTGCCAACTTACTTGATTTTTGTATTCTGCATCAGATATATGAGAAGGCCATAAAGTACTTGGCAGAAAGTTTTTCAGGGACTGACTGGGTCTGAGTCACTCTTGTATTTGCTCTAGAGGTCTTTTTTTTAAGGCAAAGCTCAATTGCCACATGGTTATTTTCTTGGTGAAGGATGGCTCTAGGTGTAGTATGGTGAAATTTGCTGTCTTTTTCCTGACATTTTCTAGGGTAGTGTTTCTTAACTTATTACTGCCTTGCCCCAGTGGACATTTGCAATGTCTGAGATATTTTTATCACAGTTGTGTGTATCTTTTGGTATTAGGGGGGTCGGGGGTAGGTAATGTGGGCAGTATACACACAGTGCTGATAGTGACACCTAGTAGGTAGAAACCAGGGATGCTGCTAGCTGCTTACACTGCAGAGTACCTCCCTGCCCCCTGCCCAGTCCTCAACTCCTCAACTCCAATAAGGACTTATCCTTCCTAAAATGTGAATACTGCTAAGATTTATAAACCTTGTTTTATATAAAGGTGAGTTCCTAGGCAAGAATAATTCCTAGGCAAGATGGTAGGGAAGGACCTTAGTAATGCAACTCAAGGGACGAAAAAAATAAAATATACCATTGATATGGGATCCAGAAGTTAACACTGGAAGTTTAAGAAGTTCAGAGTTTTAGATAGCCCCACTCTTTGTGAAAATCTCCCTCACTTCCTTTAGAAACCTTAGGTCTATTCAGTATTAGAAATGGAAGGATTGAGTTGATTGACACAATGTGAGTTGGAGGAAAAGGCAAGAAGAGGAGAAACGCTTGAATGGTGCTGTTGAGGTTTGGATGAACAAGGGTATTAAAGAGTACTAAGTGGGGAGAGGAAAAACTGAACTCAAAGAAGAAAATTCCCTTTATCAACCATAAGTTGATAGCCATGACACAGAAATATAAGTCCAAAATTAAGGTTCTGTAATAGACTTCAGAGGAAAATTGTCTTCTGCATCTCAGATTCTCTTTTAACTGAGTTGAAAGTAGCCACTAGAACCCAAGGAAATATGAGAATTTGTTATTAAGAATTTATATGTGTTTCATTAGCTAACAATGAAGTTATTTGATTATGAATTTAACCACACTTTCCTTCTATGATACATGAGAGCTTTAGGATTATACCATAAAACAATATAAAGAAATAGTCATAAAACTAAAAATAATTTTTTAACTTTTGCATGAAGTTCTCTGAAAGTCACACACTGCTCATGATAATAGTAATGCCATCAATAATTTATTGTGCTTCAACATTTTAAAGTAATTATTATATGGTGTAATTCTGTCATATTATGTGCCCAAAGTACAGATTGCTTTGTAATCCTCCAGCCTTTAATTATTACAAATACATTGAACTCTTTTACTCATGGTATTCCTTTAAAGTCGTGATTGAATTCTATGTAGTAAGCACTAGAGACTTTTAAAACCAGTTGTGTTTCTTTTCAAGAGTTGTATTTTATTTTTCCTTCAAAAGTACTGTCCAAAAGAAAAACCAGTTACACTCTCCTTTCTATTTCATAGTTCCACACCTTGGCCTTTGTTCCGAGCCTATGTAGTTAAAAGGCTTACTTAATGGAAGGTCTTCTTTCCTTACGTTATTGTAACACAACAGAAATTAAGCATAAGGAAACTGCTATCATCAAACTTCCCATGTCTGGATAATCTGCTTTTCATTACAAAGTATTTTTGCATACTCAGTATTTCTCAAGGGGAATACTGTTAGTATTTAATTGGTCTTATTTCTATTGGGATGCCCCACTTATTACCAAAGGTTTAGCATCCTTGATCCATGCCCTCAAAAAGCCAGTAGACTCCTCAGTCATTGTGACATTAAAAAACAAAAACACAGAGAGCCTCAGTGGCTTAGTCGGTTGAGCAACTGACTCTTGATTTGAGCTCAGGTCACGATCACATGGTTTATGAGCTTGAACCCCACATCAAGCTCTGTGGTGGCAGTGAGGAGCTTGCATGGGATTCTCTCTCTCCCTCTCTACAGTGCCCCTCCCTCACTCACACACTCTCTCTGTCAAAACTAAAGTTAAAACAAAACGAAACAGAAAACCAAACCAAACCAAAACAAAAAAAGTTCCTATAGATTTCCAAATAGTCTTCAAGGAGGTGATAATTCCCTGAATGAGAACCACGAATTATTTTATTCTGTATGTTATGAAATACAATATGATAAAAAATGAAGTAAGGATCACATTCAAAAAGACTTATCCAAAACTATGCATATATTTCACTGAAATGAATCAAATAAGTCTTGGATCAAAGCAGCCTATGATGTTGCTTGAGAATGTATGTGTCTGCTAAACACATACTCTCTTGTTTATAATAATAGACAAGAATAATGATGGGCATCTCTTTACACTAGAGAATAAATATAAAACTAACTACAGCATTTCAGTTATTTTAAAACATAAAATTTGACAAGAGGACTTACAATCTTGGAACAGACATTTCCCCCATCTATGATTTGCCAGGACTTAAGTAAGCACTCTAAGTTCAAAATAGTGATGTTGAGAGGTGACATCATAAAGAGACCAAGAGCACTGGGAGTTAAGGGGGAAATGAGCTATCACTTTGACATATATTATGTTCTTTAATATTCGGTCTAAGTTTTGTGTTTTCTTTATTTCATTGTTACTATGAGACTACACCTGATGGTTGAAAAATAACCAGTTGGTTTTACATCTTACTAAAATTCTTATTTCAATTTTTCATGTACTTTTTATTTATTGACTGATACGACATAAAAGATGAATTTGAGTATCTGTTAAAATAAATTGTAATCCTAACTTCCCTGATATTCATATGTATTTTGTTAAATTCTTTGCATAACTTCGTGCCTTTTACCTTTTCCCATCTTAAACACATGAATTGCTCATAGATAAGAGATTTTAAAGAAGGCTAGGTGTTTATTAAAATTATCAACTTAGGAGCACCTCAGTAGCTCAGTCAGTTAGTTAAGTGTCTGACTTTTGATTTTGGCTCATATCATGATCTCATAGTTCACGAGCCTTGGACTCTGTGCTGGCAGTGTGAAGCCGGCTTGGGATTCCTTTTCTCTACCCCTTCCTACTTCTTTCTCTCTTTCTCTCAAAATAAACCAGAAAAAATTTTATTTAATTATCAAGTTACTGATAGATCTGAGTTAGATCATTTTTACTATACCCACTACTCCACCCCATTAACAGATGAATGCAAATACAAGTAGTATTTGAACATGCTGTCATTATCTAGCTCCATTTAGGAAATTTTAGCTGATTTTTTTTTCCTCTTAAGGAATAGTTTCATTAAACTTCAGCTACTGTAGGAGATCAACTACAAAACTCTCAGTGGTTTTAACTCAGTGAAAGTTTTTATCTTATGTCTCAGACCATGGTAAATTCTAGAGTGGTTGAGGTAGGAGGTTTCCAGAACAAGATTAAAATTTTTTTAATGTTTATTTTTGAGAGAGAGTAAGCAAGCAAGGGAGGGTAGAGAGAGAAGGAGACACAGAGTTCAAAGTAGCTCCAGGCTCCAGGCTGTCAGCACAGAGCCAGACACGGGCTCAAACCCAAGAACCGTTAGATCATGACCTGAGGTGAAGTCAGATGCTTAACTGACTAAACCACCCAGGCACTTCTCCATAACAATATTTAATAATTCAGGTTTCTCTGATTTAATTTCTTCATTATCTACCAACTTACACTATTGATGCTGTTGTTTTCTGGCAAATGATGATTAGCAAACAGTATGATTTTTAAATCCACAATATTTTATTAAAATTTTATAATAAGTACCTGGTTATGAAAGTATATACATCCAGTGCATTTCTTCTGTCAGCATGTGGTAAGGTCCAGAACATGACTGGGCAGCCAACAATGCTTGCCTTCTGCACCATGACCGACCTCTTGAATTAATCTCTCACTGTCATTTTAACTGTGTGTGAGCTTTTAAGATCTCAGAGAGCTAATGATCTTTTTATTGTAAGCTTGCATTAATTTTCTATTGCTGTATAAAAATTACCGCAAACTTAGTGTTATAATAACAAAATACATTTATAATCCTTAATTCTGGGGGCACCCAGGTGGCTCATTTGACTAAGCTTCTGACTTCGGCTCTGTTCATGATCTCACGGTTCATGAGTTGAGCCCCATGTGGGGTCTCATCTGACAGCTCAGAGCCCGTAGCCTGCTTCAGATTCTGTGTCACCCTCTCTCTCTCTCTCTGTCTCTCTCTCTGTCTCTCTCTCTCTCTGCCCCTCCCCCCACTCTCTGTCTTTAAAAATGAGCATTAAACACATTTATAATCTCATAATTCTGTAGTTCAGATCTCAGGAAAATTCAGTTGGTTCCTCTTCTCAGTGTCTTATAGGCTGAATTCAATTTGTTGACTAGTCTCTTATCTGGAGGCTCTGAGAAAGAATCTATTTCCAAGTAACATTCTAGTTGGCAGAATTCAGTTTCAGTGGCTGGTTCTGATGTCTGTGTTTTCTTGTGTGTTATCACTGTCAGCTACTATTTGCTTCTAGAAGCTGCCTACATTCCTTCTCAGATGATCCCTTCCCGCTTCAAACCAGCTGTTTCAAGTCCTCCTCTGAGTTCATAATCTGTGTTCTTTTTCTCCATTTTCCACTGCTACCAGATGAGGAAAATTTTATCTTCTAAACAGCTTATTGCATACATTAGGCCCCTGTAAATATCTCTGAAGGTCACCTGTCCCTCATAACGTAGCATAACCCTAGGGATAATATCTCTTCATATTCATAAGAGTGAATGCTATGCTCAATATGAAGGTTCATTTGGGGGTCATTCTTCAAATTCGGCCTACCATAAAGCCAAAATTAAACTAAAGCCTTATTTTATTTGAGGCTTATGAGAAATATATCAGCCTCATATATATTATTTTTATGTCCTAAGATTTTGCCAAGGTTTATCCAGCAGCACTGTGATTAAATACAAGAATTTTATTGTTATTTTTTAAAAGGCCATTCAGCTTAGTAAGTATATCCTCAAATATAAATATTGTACTTAAAAACTGTATGTGTGAAATAAAAATATTAAAGTATAAATATATATATTTTAAGTGTTTTATAGGTCATGAATAATTTGTGTATTTTAACCCCTTTTTTCTCATAATGATACAGTATAAAGTAGGAACAGTTGGTCCGTGATATTTAAGTTATTTCCCAAGATTCTATAATAGCTTACCAATGTAAAAGCAGGGTTATATAATTTTGCCCATAAAATATAGATAGATAGATTCTTTAAGTTTGTGATGGTTTCAAAGTTTCGTATAATTATGAATGTATGCATACATATATAGATATATATGATTTATTAACTTATTTATGTATCCATCCATGTATCATCAACTTCTTTATTTCTGCATTGCTTAAAAGATTTAAGACACCTAACAGGGTATATAAATGTAAATATAAAATTATTATATACAATTTGTTTTGTATATAGTAGTTTGTATCATTATTGTAAAAACCACAAAATTGTGTAAATATATAATTTTTTATTATGTTTAAATGTACCTAAATCTTAAGTGATCAGCATGATAAAATATTGTAAAATGAACAAAGTTTTTAGCAATGATCTCAGTTACAAATAGATTATGATCTACTCAATTTGTTAACCTTATGCCCTCCACAAAGGTGACCACCACTATCATAACTATTATAACTATTACACTATTAATTTGTCTGTTTTTGGAATCTGTATAATAATATGTAATATGTACTTTCTTTAATGTGGATTCTTTCAGTATATACTTTATATTCATTTATATAAGTTGCATATATTTGTAGTTCATAATTTTTCTGTAAGTGTAATTACTTGTGTATTATAGCATTATATGTGTATAACATTGTTTATACATTCTAAAATTGATGAATTTATTTTACATCTAATTTTTAACTATTTTGTTATGGACAATTTTTCATATGTATTTTGGCAGACATGATCATATGTTTATGTTGATATATATCATTTATAAACATATTTGATGGTGGGGTTATTGATGCTCAACTTTAGACAATGCCAAATAATTTCCCAAAGTGTCTATAACACTGGCAGTGTATGAGATCTCCTGTTTATCCACATCCCCTCAACAGTGGTTTTTATGAATTATTTTAATTTTAGCTACTTTGAAGGAATGTGATTATATATCACTGTTGTTTTAAATTGCATTTTCCTGATTATTAATGATTAGGAACACTGGTGAAAGAGCAGGTTTAGGGAAAACAACAACAACACATAATCTACCAAAGGAGAAAAATAAGAATTATAGCAAACTTTTCGTTAAAAAATTATGTAAGCCATAGATGTATTAAAAGCAAAAGAGAAATATATATAACATATTGAAATAATAATTAGAATGGGCTCATGGATGGTTCAGTCAGTTAAGTGTCTACCGCTTGATTTTGGTTTAGGTCATGATCTCACTGTTTGCAGGATCAAGCTCTGCATCAGTACAGAGCCTGCTTGGGATTCTCTCTTTCAACATCTCTTTCTGCCCCGCCCCTGCTCATGCTCAGCCACTCTCCAAAAAAAATAAACATTAAAAAATATTTTAAAAATAAATAATAACTAGAAGTTGGAATGACTCTATTGCCATTGTACAGTGTAGGTATCAGATCAAGATATAACCAAGGATTCAGAACATTACCTAAGGGCACCTGGGTGGCACAGTTGGTTAAGTGCCTTTTTTATGGCTAATATTCCTGTGTGTGTGTGTGTGTGTATCTTAAATCTATTTTATCCATTTATCTCTCAATGAACACTTGGATTGCTTTCATTCTTTGGCTATTGTAAGCAATTCATTAATAAACATGGATGCATATATCTTTAGGAATTAGTGGTTTTCATTTATATTGGGTAGATACCCAGCATTGGAATTACTGGGCCATATGGTAATTCTATTTCTATACTGTTATCCACAGTGGGTGTACCAGTTTGCATTGCTACCAGCTGTGCATGACTGTTCCTTTTTCTCTACATCGTTGTTACCATTTGTTGTTTCTTGTGTTTTCTTTTTTAGCCATTCTGACTGGTGTGAGACGATAGTTCAGTGTGGTTTTGATTTATGTTTCTCTGATGAGAAGTGATGTTGAACATTTTTTCATGTGTTTCATGGCCATCTTTATGTCTTCTTTGAAGACATGCCTGGATCATAAAAAGTTGCTTTGGTTTCAAGCATGACTATGTGTCCATTGAAATATATTTGTTTAATATTTCTATGCATTGATAAATTATTAGAGATTTTATTGTCATGTGCTCCGTTCACTGCCTACCACAGGTTATGTGTTTCTAAAGGCATCTGTGGATTTGAAGGTAGACCTTGACTTAACTAATGAAGTAACCTCTGAATTTTCACATCAAATATGAATATGTAAATATGGAGGGATTCTCAGTGAGTTGAAACAGAAGTATTTTCCTGCTTCCTATAATGACGGATGCAGACAAACTTCACAGCTTCTTATATATTTGTGAATCATCAGTAGCTCTATA